CATCTGATGGGCATCCAGCGCCGCGAGGATGTGCAGTCGGACCCTGGACCGTTGCGTCCAGTTCTGAAACCGCAACGCCTCCCATTGCGGGCGCTCCCAGCACGGGTAGGAGGAGGAAGGCAAGCTGCGCAGCTGCAGCCAGGCAATCAGCTCGCGCTTCACGACCGAGTGTGCTCCCTGGGCTCTGGAGAATGGCGAAATGCGAGTTCACCAGAATCAGTGTCAGGGCCCGCTGACACTCCACCAGGCGCCACAGCTGCGCAAGAGTCGCCGTGGGAACTTCAACCACTCCAGTCGCCAGTGCCGCAGGCGGAACCGGAAGCGGGGGCGGAGGTTGCATGGACGGAACATCAGCAAAGTGTCGTGGAGGGACGAAGGCCCCTCTCGCCCCTCCGCCTCCCGCTCCCACAAATCCCGTGTCCGGGAGTGGGGGAATCCAGGGCAGAGGTGGATAGGGCGCAGCAGATACAGGACGCACGGAGGCAGGGGGAGCACGATCACCTCCAGGAGTGTGAACCTGCGGGAACGCTGAGGCGAGCGGGGCGGGAGCAGCAAATGGCGCGGCCGGAGCCAGCACATTCACAAGCGCCGGTGCGGGCGCAGGAGCGGCAGGAGCCTGGAAGCTTCCAAGATTCGGTGCGCCATTTAGAGCATTGCGCATCGCCGCAGCTAGCATCCCCGCGAAATCCTCGCGCAACTGCTGCATCTCGCTCGGCCCACCGCGCCCGCGACCATGACCTCCCTACCAGCCACCGCGGCCTCTGCGGTGCGCCAACCGATACGACGACGAGGGGCGACGGCGAGGAGAACCTCGCCCCCGATGCGCTGCCGCATTGCCCCCCGCGGCACCGCGTATTTGTGACTCCGAGAGCCACTGTGAAACGGGATGTGCCGGCGCAGCCGCAGGGGCCACCAAGTGGGCAGAGTCGAGGCCGGCGCCCTCCACTGTCCCCGACGCAGGGCCCCCAGCGATAGCATGGACGGGGGACAGCGCCACAGGTGGCGGCTGCGCGACGGGAATCGGCGCGCCGGACGAGGGAAGAGCGTGCGGAAGGTTCGGCTGGGGAGCCGACGACAGCGGGACCGGAACTGAGGATGACGCAGCAGCAGCAGGAGGAGCCGGAGGGGCTAGAGGAGCGGCAGCCATGGCGACAGCAACAGCACGGGCCGGAGGCGGAGCTTTCGCGCTCTCAGCGGTGTGACCTTGGTCCACCGCTGACTTCTCCGCTTCAGTCGCCATCGCGGCTTACGCGTCGGCAGCAGGAAATCGAGGACGCACGATCGCGCCCGCACAAGGGAGGAGTTAGTCGAGGGAGGAGTTAGTCGAGGGAGTCCAATGCCGGCCGCAGCCAGTGCGCGTACGCGCGGTGGCCGTGCTGAAGGTAGAGGGCGTGGGAGGAGTACGCGTGAGGGTGGTCCAGAGAACGCGTTCCAGATGGCAGCGAGAAGGGCTTTAGCTGAGTTAGTAAGAGCTAATGAAGCTGAAGCTCTGTCGGGGAGTATTTATGAGGCGAAGGAGGAGGAAGCAGACTCAGGTTCGAATGCCTCGTAGGAGGCCCAGTCCCAAGTCCCTGCTCAGCAAGGAGGCAACTCAGCCCATGCCCGAAGCGCGGCAACAAATTTCAATCGCACCCCCACCCAGGCGCAGCTATCCCCACAGATTCAAACCACTCCCAACAACCCTGACACCACTGCCAACCAGCCCGCCCAACAAAACCTGCCACCACCTCTTGCAATTGCACCGCGAACTGCAGCGAGGGGTAACCATCGGCAGGCACAACCCCCTCCCCAAAAATCGCCCGAAGCCCTCGCCAAGGATGACACGCTTTTCGCAAGCGTCAGTAACTGGAATTTGGATAAGCTGCGCGATAGTCGCAACTCACCTCTAGCACGTCACCTTCTGGAAAAGCTGCGCCTGCTTTTCGCAATGGTTTTACTGACACCACTGCTGCGACTTGCCGACGACCCTGATTCCACCCAAGCCTGGAAGGTTTTGCTGTTCGCCGCTCGCCTGACACTGCGTCAGCAGTCCCCGAAGCATCCTGATTGGAAGGCGACCAGAAGTAGGTTGCGTAAATTCCTGCGAGGGGAGTGGGAATCACTTTACCAGGAAACAGTGGATTCGCTGGAGCTACCCCCCCCCTTCCCCCCCCCCCCCCCCAGGCACCAACCTGACGACCTGGGAGTTATCTCCAGGGCAGAGGGTCTGGCGCGACGTGGCAGTCTGCGGAGGGCTGTCATGGCACTCGAAGCCACTCCGGTCAGCAAGCCGACCCCAGAAGTTCTTGAATCCCTACGTGCCAAGCACCCACGCGCCCAGCACCCTGACACACCGTGGCCCCAGCCTGAGCCGGACACTTACCTGGCAGTATCGCGAGAAGTATTCCTAAAACTTCTCTCGAAATGTGAGAACGGGGTTGGCGCAGGCCCCTCAGGTACGACGTTCGAGCACCTGCGCGAAGCTGCCCTGATGCACTCTGCGGTCAGTTCACACTTAGATGCGCTTGTCAACAAGATCCTTCGCGGGAAGCTGCGCATGGAGGTTGGGGAGCTTCTTACCGCATCACGGCTGATAGCCCTGGACAAGCCCGACGGAGGGACCAGGCCAATAGCTATAGGTGAATGCATCCTCCGGCTGGCAGCCAAGGCAGCACTTACTCAGCTAGCAGATGCGGCCAGAGAATTCTTCCTACCGTTACAATTTGGAGTGGCCGTGCCAGGAGGAGCAGAGGCAGTGATCCACATAGTCCGAACCTTCACTTCGGCAAATCAAGAGGCACTAGTCTTGCAGGCGGACCTAGCTAACGCTTTCAACAGCGTTGATCGCCTCACCATAGCGACAACGCTGAAAGGCTCGCAGCTGGAGCCGCTACTACCCTTGGTGCACTTCTCCTACGGCCAGCCGTCCGCACTGCACCTGGATGCAGCTTTTAGCCACGCGCCTATACTCAGCGAGACCGGGGTCCGCCAAGGGGACCCACTCGGCCCCCTTCTTTTTGCCGCGGCCATGCAACCAGCTCTGAAGGCTGCTGCGGAGGCCAATCCGGATGTCATCTGCCTTGCTTACGCAGATGACGTGACCTTCTTAGGGGACCCGTTGTCATGTGCGGCTGCTTTTGAGCACTTCACGAGCCTTCTTGCTGAAATCGGGCTTAAACACAACCCCGCCAAGTGCAGGGCATGGTCCAACAGGTCGCCCGTGGACTTCCCCCTGCCCGAAGGAGTTCCACTCAGCAGCGACGGGTTGAAAGTGCTGGGAAGTTACATCTGCTCCCCAAGTGCTACCTCCGCCTTCGTACAGTCCAGCCTGGAGGCAATGGACGCGCCGCTAGGATTGATCGAGCAGATGGAGCCGCAGCTGGCAGGACTGCTGCTGTCTCGGTGCGTCTCGCGCCGTGTGTCCTACCTGGCCCGCACGACTCCCCTCCCATCCCTGCCCAAGGAGGAGTGGTCCGAATGGGGGAGGCGGCTGTTGGAAACTCTGCTCACAGCATGTGGCATCAATCACCCGCGGGGGACCGAGGAAACGGCATGCACATGGGCGCAAGCCTTGCTCCCCGTATCGCTCGGTGGCCTGGGGCTGACGGATCCGTCCATGGAGGGAAGTTACAGCTTCTTCGCCAGCTACACGCAGGCGCATCTCCTTCTTGACTCCCTCGATGGCGACTGCACTGGCCCACTAGAGGCCACCCGCGAGCTGATGCGCGGCCCCTACTCTCAGTCATCCCCCCTGACCGAGTGGCTAGCGGAATGCGAGGGGGAGCTTCCACTGCCGGCCCAGGAAGCTTTGCAAGCGGAGAGAGCAGCCCCAACCGCAGGAAAGCTGCAGCACGGGCTAGCCACTGCTATCCAGGGACAGCGCTACGCGGTCCAGGTGGAGGAGGTGCGGGGGATGAGCCCGAATCCAAATAACGGTCACACGCAGCGGCTGTTGTCCCTGTCAGGGTACGGGGCGGGAGATTGGTTAAACGCGGTGCCTCTGCACCGCTCGCTGCACCTCGAGGCTCCACATTTTGCCAACGCGCTCCAGTTTCGACTGGGGCTCCCCTTTGCCGCTCCCGGAGTTTGCAGCTGCACAAAGAAGGTGGAGATTCCGGATAAGCGGCTCCCGAACCACCTGCTACGATGCGGCACAGGGGGGGGGGCGCACAAACACGCACAACGAGCTTAGGGACGAATGCGCACGAATGGCGCGTGATGCTGGCTTCATGGTGCACATCGAGACAGCCGCCTTCAGCCCAGTAGAAGAGAAGAAGGCGGAGCTGGCCCTCCGCTGCCGCTCAACAGGAGCCGTCTACATCCGTGATGTGACGGTGACGGACCCCATCAGCACCCGAGATGAGAATGCAACTAAGGGGCCGGGGTGGGCAGCACGGGAAGCAGCAGATAAGAAGCAAGGCCTCTACAAGGACCGCCCTGAGTGGGTGAAGTTCTTCCCGCTTGCGGTTGAGACTTATGGGTGCCCATGCCCTGAGACAGTAGATTTCCTGAAGCTGCTCGCGGAAACGGCTGCAAGGCGGTTTTTTAACGCCGAGCCAACCTCCTACCAAGCTGCCAAGCTCCTACACCATTTTCGGCAGCGGTGGTCGGTGGCTCTTCAAAGGGGGCAGTCGATTGGATATCTAGAGAAGTGCAGCATAGCGGCTGCAGTAGAGAACCCGCTGCTAGAGGCAGTGGGTGAGGCCCCGTCCCTAGGGGACTGCCTCTCGGTCCTTGATCCTGCACTGGACCTAGCTTAGAAGGAGGGGGGTGGGGGAGGAAGTGATGGGAGAGTAGTAAGAGGCTTTATGCATCAGACTCACGTATGGATAACTACCACCTTGCATGCCTGTAAGTCTTGTATCAATCAATGAAAGGGCCATTTGAGAGAGAGAGAGAGAGAGAGAGAGAGAGAGAGAGAGAGAGAGAGAGAGAGAGAGAGAGAGAGAGAGAGAGAGAGAGAGAGAAGTCAATCAAGGAAGAATAATGAGGAGACAGGACCACCCGACAAGATTAAGTATTTAGTGTTGAGCAGTTTTGAGTAGACACCACTCGACACGCTGAACTCTAGACGCACACAGAGAATATACACGCATTGATATGATGTCATTGCACATTGAGTGGAGTAGACCCCAAACACACCTGTCAAAGATACTGAGAAACGCCCCACAGATGTCACACACCCGGAGCTTCTGATCCGCCTGCCAGACCACACATAGAGCAAGCAGGCGAGGGAGGGAGGCGGAGAGAAGGAAGAGCAAACAGAGACAATTCTTAAGGCGCCTCAGAGGGGACATATTCGAATATGGTAAGGAATGCCCCTCGGGTGTGCGACGGAGGGAAGGGCTGGACGGGAATCGGTCAACGCCTGAACCGAGTGGAAGCGCAAACAGGGTGCGCGCAAAGGGAAGGGCATGATGATGGGATAAGGATGGAATGATGGGAGAAGGACGGAATGATTGGAGAGGCAGACTCACGATCTGAAAGCCGAGGCTTGCAATGGGGTCTGGCTTTGGAGCCATGGCGAGCTGCAAGAGAGAAGAAGAGAAAGGCAGGTAAGTAACGAAGAGGATTGGAGGATGGATGCACGAATGACTGTGCAGTGGAATGAACAGCACATCCACCCAACCCAACCCACCCAACCCACCCAACCACCCACCCAACCCACCCAACCACCCACCCAACCCACCCAACCACCCACCCAACCCAACCCACCGAACCGACCACCCAACCCAACCAACCCAGCCAGAACTCATCCCACCACCCCACAAACCTTCTTAAGCGCATCTGCCTCCTCCATGAGCTTCTGAGCCTCGTCCACCCGCCCCTCCCAACCTAGCCGGCCAACCCAGCCACCATACCCAACCGCACTGCACCCCACTCCACCCACCTTCTTGAGAGCATCTGCCTCTTCCATGAGCTTCTGAGCCTCGTCCACCCGCCCCTCCTCTCCTGCAAATGCAAAGAGGCGGAGGAGGTGGGAGGGGGGGACAGCAGAGGGGTAAGGAGGAGACGGCGAGAGGGGAAGGGAAGGGTGGGATGCGAAAGGGTGTAGAAGGTGGGTATTGAGGGAAAGTAAGGAGACGGCGGAGGTGGGGGGGAGACAGAGGGAGGAGAGACGGAAACAGAGAAAACGGGAAGGCGATGTGAAGGGGTGTTGGGAAGTGGGTCTATACGAGGAGGGATTGCTCTGAAGCAAAATCAATTCCTGTTTTCTGAGAGCTACTCATGATTCCTGCTGCTGCTGGCCCTCACCTTCATTACTACCTTCATGAATTGGATAAGACGCACACAGAGAGATGAAAAGTACTCACCGGCTTGCTCCGCGCGCCTTAGCTTCTCTTTGATCATCTCCTGCGTCTTGCTGTCCGGCTGGTTCAGCACACAGGTGCTGCCACCAGACCAGCAATCCACCCCTTCCACCCTTCCCACTCTTGCCGTTCTTCCCACCCTTCCCTCCCTTGAATCAGCCTACATCACTCACCGTCTTGCTCCGCCCGACGCAGCTTCTCTTCGATCATCTCTTGCGTCTTGGTGTGCGGCTGGTTCAGCACACAGGTGCTGCCACCAGACCAGCAATCCCATCCCTTCCACCCTTCCCGCTCTTGCCATTCCTCCCACGCGTCCTTCCCCTGAATCATCCTTCATCACTCACCGGCTTGCTCCGCGCGCCTTAGCTTCTCTTTGATCATTTCCTGCGTCTTGCTGTCCGGCTGGCTCAGCACAGGTGCTGCCACCGCCGGCCCTCCAGGGGCAGGCGGGCCGGAGAGACGATCCTTGTTGAACGCGTCGAGAATGGATGCGGCCTGAGAAAGAATCAGCAGGGAGAAGGAAAGGAGCGGATGGTTGAAAGGCAGCTGTAGATGGGAAATCACGAATGCCACCGCCAGCCCTCCAGGGGCTGGAGGGCCGGAGAGACGATCCTTGTTGAACGCGTCCAGAATGGATGCGGCCTGAGAAAGAAATAGCAAGAAGAAAGAAAGGCAGCGGAGGGGGGGAAAGGAGCTGAAGATGTGAATCAGGGCTGCTACTGCCGGCCCTCCGTCCAGGGACAGGCAAGAATGGATGCGGCCTGACGGATTGAACAGCGGGTTTAGCAGGAAATGAAAGAAAGAAAAGGAGCGCGAAGGGGTTTGCTAGTTGAGTATGGGTGCTGCCATTGCCCCGTCCCCCATAAACGGGTAGGCCAGACAGTTGGAGGCGTCAAGAATGTATTAGAACTGAGAGCGAAACAGCAGGGTGAAGGGATGACAGACGAGAGGAGAGGGGCGGTTACGAATCGAGGGAGGGAGACCCTACATACCCAGCTGTTAAATATATGTAGGGCCTCCCTCCCTACATCCAAAAGATTGAATTAATGAAGTGTCATTCAACCTGTTTGTGAGTCATGCGAAGGCTCTTCATCTGCTGTGTGAAGGGTGCTGTGCTCACACCTGCTTGTCTGCTCGCTCCTGCTTGAGCTTCTCCAGTTCCTCCGTGGCCCGAATCTTGTCGTCCATCCTGTTCTCCATCTCTGCAGCGGGGAAAGGAAGCATACAGGAGAAAGGGAAAAGATAATGGAGAAACGAGAACGAGAAAGGAGAAGGACAATGGAAACGAGAAATAAAAAAAGAAAGAAACGTGAAAGAGGAGACAAGCATGATAACTTTTGTCAACTTCAGCGGCCGGAAGGAACAGCTCAATTACGTTGTACAATCTCTGGCAAAAAGAAATCGAAGAAACTATAGCATACCCAGCTGATCGACCTCTGCCATCTTCTGATAGATCTTCTTTGTCAGCTCTATGGACTCCGGTGACTGCACAGTGAGAAACATACAAACACACCAAGTGCAGGTTAATCAGCATAAGAAGCATTATGAGCCACATGCTACGACATGCAACCACGTGCAACCACGTGCAACCACGTGCAACCATGTGCAACCACATGCAACCACGCGTCACATGCAGACATTGCCAAACGGAAGTACAAAATATGAGGAGACAAGCAATAGCATCAGTAACTTCCGACACAGCGTTCAATGTTGCTAACATCTATTTGAGCCGTCTAAAATGTTCGTCCGAACCAGATATTCACAAACTCCCTCTCCCTCTCCCTCTCCCTGTCACTCTCCTCTCCCCTCAGAACCAACATCGGCTTACAGCAATGACTTCAGACACTTTTCACAGGGTTCAGCGCAGCTCTCACCCGCTCCCTCCCCCGTTGAATAACCCTCCCCCTCTCGCTTTCCCTCCCCTTCTCCCCTTCCCTCTCCCTCTTTCCATCAGCTCACATCAGTGACTTCGGACACTTTAACGGCGTTCAGCGCAGCCGCGCCCTCCTCGTCCTCCAGGCGCTTGAACGACCGTTGGATCTTGCGATCGCACTCCACGATCAGCTTCTCCAGAATGCCCTCCAGCTCTCGCTCGTAGTCCACCAGACCCTTCGCCTTCGCTTCTTCGTATCTGTACGCGTTAATAGCACAAGAAAATTCAAGGGTTTTGAATAAACCATTAAACGAACGCCAAAATGCTCTCGTGCAGTTATCGTGCTCAGAACCTGGCTCGGATTGAATGAAACTGCTTTGATGGCTCAACTACAAAATAGAATCCAAGGCAAAACACTTTCATGATGTATGACATGAAGACAATTACTTACTCTTTTCGCAGGCGGAGTGAATGCTCCCTGGAGCAGGGTCCAAGATCCATTTTCTGGAAAACGAAAAACGAAAGAAAAAGAAAGGTAAAAGATGGAAGCGATATGAATGCGGAACTAAGGTAAGAAACAAAACCTGTAAGGTTGGACAAAATTTGCAGAAGTATACAAAAGAAAAACGATTAACTCGACGGAAACAGATCGAGCGGAAACAGCCCAAACAGGAACGTGCGGCGCAATTCCAGGTCGTAATAGTCTTACGTTCTTCAAATAGCGGATGACTATTAACTAACCGTTAACGTAAACAGATCGTGCGGACAGAGGCCACACAGGAACGCGCGACAAACATCCCGGTCGTAGTAATTCTTGTTCGTCTCCTCCACGTCGCCGTTCCTGTTGGCCCCCATCAGCGCGTCGAGCTGCTTCCGTATCGCGTCCATCGCGACGCGGTGCTTGTACGCACGCGACTCTCAAAATCAGCCGACGAATCGGGAAACTGGATCTTTTGTGAGCGGTATAAGAGACTGCGATGCTCGGGCCTCTCACACCCGCAGCGAGGAGGACTAGAAGAGGAAACTAACGGGGATACTCAACTCCCCTTGACCCTCTCCACAGTTAGCAGCTCTGGTCTGGTTAGCTTTGCTGTAGATATCTCTATTCCCTGAAAACTAGGTCGGACTCAGAACCAAAAGACCTTCCAGAAGATTGCAGCAAGAACTCAAGATCCCTGCTGGACTCGATATAAGCGCAAGTTGCGTGTGCCGTCTGACGAAATTGACACATCAGCAATGGTTCACTTGACGTACCGATAAGTTCCCTTCGGTGGTTGGTCATGACAAATATGAGCATGAATCATAAATTTTAGATTATCAAGATTATTGTACACTTATGATAGGAAACGAGCTTTTTAATCAGCCTTTCCAGACTTCTCTGTGGACGGGGCTGGTGTGGTTAATGGCTTCTCTCCATCCTTCTTAGTCGCCTCACCGTCATGCTCACCATCCTTATCGTCACCATCCCCAGACTCATCATAAGCCAATAGCTGCTCACACGAAACGGTACTGAGTTAAACATCACCATTTTCTGTTCCAGGTAGGAAAAAAAAAACGAAAACTTATAGCGCAAGAACAAGGATGATAGTCAAACCATACCTCCTTGAGTTCTCCTCGGATTGCTCCGTGTACACCTAGAAAACCCATCACGCCGGGAACAATATAAAGCAGGGCAGGCTGCACACACAGAGAGCATCCGCATGAAACGCACAAGAAACACAGGACAGGATGCAGAAACCGAACTTCCAGCCTTTCTATGATAACGAAGGGTGAGTTAACTTTAGCATGCTTATGCACATACCTGGGCAGCTTGAAAGTAGTTCATTACGAAGATGGTGGTAATGATGCCAGCCATGTAACCGGCAAACGTGGAGACAAAGTAACGCGGCCCAGTGCCTCTAGAGACATCGAACCTTAGAGCGAGTGCCACAAAGATGCCTGCAGTGGGAAGTGTGGGTGCAGAGAGGGGTGAGGGGTGCACAGATAGGTGGTAAACAGTTAGTGAAACACAGAGAGAAGTGAAAACTTATCCTGAGAATCCTCAAGGAAGAATGCAGTAGGAAGAATGCAGTAGGAAGAATGCAGTAGGAAGAATGCAGTAGGACGAATGCAGTAGGAAGAATGCAGTAGGAAGAATGCAGTAGGAAGAATGCAGTAGGAAGAATGCAGTAGGAAGAATGCAGTAGGACGAATGCAGTAGGAAGAATGCAGTAGGGAGAATGCAGTAGGAAGAATGCAGTAGGAAGAATGCAGTAGGAAGAATGCAGTAGGAAGAATGCAGTAGGAAGAATGCATTAGGAAGTAGTGGACAACAACAAGGATCATGTCGTCCTCACCAGAATACAACAACTTTAACAATGATACGGCACATTCCATAGAGATCCTGTACAACGGAACATCAAAAGTGCCAGGTGGCAGCAGGAGCTGCAGGTGACAGAAGGAGCAGCGGTAGCTAGCATACCAGGGATAACAATGTCGCCCAGACCCAACAAGGAGAAAGGCCTTGCGAGGTCACCAGTTGGAAACAGCAGCTGCAGTGGTTTGGAGAAAAGGTGAAGGAGTTGAGGCATGAGTGTAAGAATGTGTTAAGGAGCGTGTGAAGGGCACTACAGGAGGCAAACTGGAAAAAAAAAAAAAAAAACAGTAAGGTGGATGCACACCTTGATGCATGCGAGGGGTGCATGCGAGGGTTGCATGCAAGGGGTGCACGGGTGCATGCAAGGGGTGCATGCAAGAGTTGCATGCAATGGCTGCATGCAAGGGTACATGCGATGGCTGCATGCGAGGGGTGCATGTGAGGGGTGCATGCGAGGGGTGCATGCGAGGGGTGCATGCGAGGGGTGCATGCGAGGGGTGCATCATACATGCGAGGGTTGCATGAAATTGTCGCATGCGATGGCTGGATGCGAGGGGTGCATGGTTGCTCGTTACGATGATTACCTTGCAGCTCATATGCTTGTTAGTTACTCGTGCATACCTTGATGGGTGCGTCAAATGACTTGGCGACAGAAACCATAACTGGCGTGAAGAAGACCCAGAAGATATCGTAGAAGAAAAGACCAGTCTGGGGGAGGGGAGAATGAGGGGGCACGTGGGGGGGAACGGGAGGGTGTGGTGGGGGGGGGAACGGGAGGGTGTGGTGGGGGGGGGAACGGATGGGTGGGAGGAGGCAGGATTTGACCACAATGTAGCAGACCATAACCGGAGTGAAGAAGACCCAGAAGATGTCGTAGAAGAAAAGACCAGTCTGGTTGGGGGGAGAACGAGGTACAGGGTGGGCCAGGTGGAGAGGGTAAGGGGAAAGGGATGGGCAGGAGGAGGTGAGATTTGGGCGCAGGGGAAACGATCAGAGCAGATTATAGGGGGAGTGAGCAGGTTCCAGAAGATATGATAGAAGAAATGAGCAGTCTGGTTGGGAGGAAGAATGAAGGGGTGGGTGGGGCGGGTGGGGGGATTGGGAACGGTGAGGGGGGAGGAAACAACGACAGAGGCCATGCGTGGAGAAGACCCAGAAAATGTTGTAGAAGAAAAAGGCCAGCCTGGTCAGTGAGAAAAATGAAGGGGCCGGTAGGAGTCAAGCGTGGAGGGTGGGGGTGAAGGGATGGGCGGAAGGAGGTGAGATTCGGGCGCAGAGGAAACGGACACGACCATAGCAAAACCACGCCCACGAATTAGGCTTTAATCATTGACTGGTTCCCCAACCCAACCTCACCAGCAGAATGGCACCGATCTTGAATGAAGGAGCCAAGGGAGAGCAAATTTATGCCCTGCAGGTCAGTGGTGTACCTGGAAACCTGTGGGCTTGGAATCACCGAACCACCCACCAACCAGGCTTGAAAATGAACCCACCTTTCCACCTCACCAGCAGAATATTCCGATTTTGAAGGAGCCGAGTGAGAGCATTTCGATGCCGTGCAGACGTTTGGTGGACATGAGAAGCCGTGTTGACTGAAACCACCAAACATCCCACTGTACAAGCTTAGACCATTGATCCCACACCCCGGACCTCACCAGCAGAATGGCGCCAATGTTGAAGGAGCCGAAGGAGAGTGAGCATCTCGATGCCCTGCAGACCTTTGGTGGACTTTGGAACTTGTGGGCTAGGTTTGACCCAACACGCCCAACTTACCAGGAACGCCCAGCCTGTAGCCTGAGCGGTGCGCATAGTCTCACCAGCAGCACATGGCCTCACCAGCAGGATTGCTCCAATCTTAAAAGAGCCGAGGGAGAGCATCTCAATCCTTGCAGGGAGAAGGCGAGGCATTGAAACCACCCAGCAACTAGTGACCCCAGAGCCTAACCTCACCAGCAGGATAGCACCGATCTTGAAGGAGCCGAGGGAGAGCATCTCAATTCCTTGCAGGGAGAACGCGAGGCCGAGGGCGTTGTTGGCGAACCAGTGCTTGCGCGTGACGTACCACACGCAGAACGCCGAGCTTGGAATGCCCGCCACCACCTGCGCCATCGTCAGCTCTATCTCGAAATCTGGGCATGAATAGAGGTAGGGAGAGAGACGGGCGGAGGGAGAGAGAGATGGGGTGGGAGGGAGGGACGTGGTAGAGAGGAAGAGTGAAGGATCTAAATTCATCCCAAAGCAGGATTGGTTGAGAATGGCCAGCCATCGCCTGAGAGGTCCGGATCAGAGTAAAACCTTAGTTTACTTAAAAGCCGAAGCCTAAGCTATTTTCAGCTCTATTTCAACATCTGGGGACGACGGTAGGCCAAGGTGATTATTTGGCTGGCACAGCCAAAAACCGCAATTCTTCTGCAAGCCTTTTGGTGATTTGGTGCTGTATGTTCAGCTGCCAGAATGTGTACAGGCAATGATCGCAAACGAGAAGAAATAAACCGACGAATACCTTTAAAGTAGGGTGCTTTCCAGTAGAAAATATCCTCGTTCCACTTCGCAGGAACAAATCGCGACACAAGGGGAAGAATTGTGGCCCTGCCAAGAGAAAAGTTGGGGGGTTGCGTAAAGCAGGCAAATTCTGAAAAACTCGAGAGTGAAATGGCAGACTGGTGGAAGTGTGTGCAAGCACAGTAGGCACTGGGCAGGAATGCACACAAAACCCAAGGCAAAAACGTAAATGAGAGGAACTACAAAAAGGTGAATCTGATCCCAGACGAGACGAATATGTGTTTTCACACTGCGAAATTTGAGGTTTCACAGAGCCAGTAGGTGTGTTGGGTGGTTTACCCGATGGCCATGACACCCAGGAAGACGAAGTAGGCGCTGAGCAGAATGTTGACCAGGTCCTTGAGAGGAACTTGAGAAGTGAAACGTATTGTCAACGCCAAAATCCCCCCCTCCCTTCTCCCCACCCCCCTCCGCCATTTTCCTCTCCCCTCTTCCCCCTCACCGCACGCCAGTCGACAATGGCTTACCCGATGGCCATGACTCCCAGGAAGACGAAGTAGGCGCTGAGCACCATGTTGACGAGGTCCTTGGGGAGGAACTTGAAGAGCAGGAAGAGCGAGAAGAGCACGCAGCTGCCGATGATGGGGAACCGCATGGCGTGCTCCTTCGACATCGTTTCCTGCACGGATAGCGCAAGAAGGGGGAAGAGAAGGAGCAGCAGGGGAGAGAAGAGGGGGAGAAGGGATGTGAGGGAAATGGGAAGGGTGATAACGGCTCATGGTGGGAATCGCCATGGCGTGCTCCTTTGACATCGTCGCCTGCACGGATCGAAGCGGAAAGGTGGAATACTTAGAAGTGAATTCCAAGTGATCTCGTGTCTATGATAGAGAATGAGGAAGAGAACGACGGGGGTAGTAGGGATATCAGACGGTGGTGAGGACATGCGAAATGAGGTAATTCCTAGTTTTTTTTCAGATTAGACAATAAAAAAAAGACCAGCAATCAAGGCTGGCGATGCTAGTCGTAACGAGAGTATACGCTTTGGGATGAATTTAGAGCCGCAAGACTCAAATGGTCTACTCACAGCTGGAGCGGCCGGCTTGACGGATCGGTAACAGCCAGCGAATACGGTTAGCGAAGCCATGGCGACAACATTGAAGTTGGGGTTGATTTTCACGAAGAGCGGAGCCACGGATAGACCTGTCAACGTCAGATTGACGTTAGAATGGACAGGGAAAAAGGGGATACCGAATATATACTGAGCTGCTGTTCAGCTTAACACAGTCACAGAAACTTAAAGGTCAAGCAACTGAAATTTCGTGAACAGTTGAAGATGGGACTCGAATGGAAGTACGGATCCAGAATGTGTGTTAATACTAATTGCATGAAGAATGGACGTGATTAAACAATGGGCAATTTTTCGGATCTCGGACGGATTGACTTGTGAAAATCATTTAGACAAGGATGTCAAGTAAATTTGCACGGAAACGCACGAAAGACGGCAGGCATCACACAAGATCCTACCAGCTAACAAAACGTTCGATATAATTTCCGCCTTCCCCATGATGGCGAGCCCTTCTTAATCGCCTTCCAGCAACGTCTATTGAAGGACTCAAATAAGTAGAGGACCAACTAATTTCGCCCGAAGACCAAGCTGCAATTCAAGGTCTGATGTTGATCTGGCCGGAGCAGAACCATACAGCCTTCAGAAGCCGAAGTGGCTTCGTAGTTATCGAGATCAAGCCACCTACAAGAAAATATCTCGAGAATTGCTGATTTTTGGTACAGATCGTTTGGCTACGATTTGATCATCGTTCTGTGCGGTGCAAGTATATGCGGTGCGATTTGATCATCATCGTTCAGCTCAATTAGGGAGCGCTCTGAACCGAACGATTATGCGAACGCGTTCGCCAAAGTGCATCAGTCAGGAATGAATCAGGGATGGCCAGCGAGAAAGCAGTTGAACTGAAGTGTTCGTTGTCGATAAGCTCTAGGTCGAGCCTCGAGCCTGATTGAATTGACAAATGATATAATTTCCGGTGAAACCTGAAGTAAACTTTGTACACAACACACTACCATCATATATACCTTCTCACTTGTGTACATAGGCTATCAAACACTGCCATGCCATTACTAGCAATATTCCCATTTCAGGTGTCAACATTCATCTCTCCAATAACTAGCTGGGGTCTCGCATCCCCTCCAGCCGCACGTTGCAAGGAACATGGATCCGTTGTCCCCTCCCTTCCAATGTTGCTACCAACTGCATCCGACCTTTCACTTGGATTATTAGCATTTGACTCTGGATGCCGTGGTTGTTGTCCTTGCCCTTGTGGGAGAGCTGGTTGAGTTCGTCCCTGCATTCACATTCATACAACAATAGTTTACATACTTAGATTGATAAGAAACAGTAGATAAATACATAGATGATTTAAATTATCATGCTCCTGAACATACCTCAATAACCTGTCTGCTGAGCATGAAGTATTGATTCGGATGTGTGATCCCCGTGGGGCATGGAGCACCTTGCGATGCTTCAAATGTCAAAGCACAGGAAATCTGCCACAGACAAATCAAGCATCCCAGGAAAAGTTAGGAGTAAAAAGGGATTTAAAAGGAAATCAATCCATTAATATCAGTTACCGTGAACAGACTCAGCGAGCTTACACCAAAGATTGTCAGGGAAGCCTCCCTGGTAGTGCTGCTGGTGTGTTTCAGCATGATCTCATCCCCCGCTGCTCCTGACAAATTTCAAGGCGCCTCAAAGATTATTCTCTCTACCCTCAGCCTACCTGGTAGTGCTGCTGCCGTGTCTTCTGCATGATCTCATCCATGGCTGCTCCTGACGACACCCCCATGCGAGAAAGGGCAGCTCTCAAGTTGTCCTCGCTGCGCATAGTACAGGCATGCCAGAGGGATAAGAGTATATTTTCTGGTATTGACAACGGCCTCTTAGTTGACTACAAAAAGGGTAGCTCTGGAGTTTAGGGTTTAGGGTTCATGCTGCGAATATACAAGGGAAAAGGGCGAATGTTGTGGAAGATTACACCTCAGAAAGACTGAATAAAGACCCTATCATCCAACTCACACACACCTGAAGTGCTTGAAGGGACACCCGTGGTGATCTCCCACGCCAGGTGTGCTCATGATGACCTTTACACAGGAGAAGGGAGTGTAGTCGGTGCGCTTGCCCTCAGTAGAACACTGAGCACAATACCGTGTGCTTTTGAGGGAATACACACCTGAAGTGCTTGAAGGGGCAGCCGTGGTGATCTCCCACCCCAGGTGTACTCATGATGACCTTCACACAGGAGAAGGGAGTGTAGTCCGTTCGCTTGCCCTCCTTGCCGTAGTTGTGCCGGATCGAATACGCATACTCCTTGTCAAACCGCTCCGCACCCATCTGCATATATCAGTCCAAGACAAATGCAAAGGTAAAGAAAAAATGAGTATTCGTGTGAAGGGGGTGTAGTCCGTGCGCTTGCCCTCCTTGCCGTAGTTGTGCCGGATGGAATACGCATACTCCTTGTCGAACCACTCCGCACCCATCTGTGATAGCAATAATGTAAAAAGAAAAATGCAAAACCGGCATCTAAGTATGGGTGTTTATGTGGATGGAGTGTAGTCTGCAAGGATAGGTGCCACAAGGCGAGTGCATCCTCCAACCTCAGCTCGATGCTTGGTGAGGTGCTTCAAAATATAACAATGTGTTAGTCGTCACAAGAGTGCCGAGCTGAGCGGACATACCTTTCTGGAGAACTCAGAGCGCCACAAGGCGAGTGCATCCTCCAACCTCAGCTCGATGCTTGATGAGGTGCCTCCAAGGAGATTGGGAACAATGCCATAAGCATACGTGCATTTCAAAAATATCACAATTTGTTAGTCCCCACAAGAGTGCAGGGCTGAGCAGACATACCTTTCTGGAGAACTCAGAGCGCCAGAATGTGAGTGCATCCTCCAATCTCAGCCCGATGCCCTGCAAGGACGTAAGATGAGGGGAGGGAATAGAGGAAGTGCATGAAGGTGGGGTGGAATATAGTAAAGAAACAGAAGGAGCAGACGTAATGTGAGTGCATCCTCCAATCTCAGCCCGATGCCCTGCGAGGACGTAAGATGAGGGGAGGGGATAGAGGAAGTGCATGAAGGTGGGGTGGAATATAGTAAAGAAACAGAAGGAGCAGACGTAATGTGAGTGCATCCTCCAATCTCAGCCCAATGCCCTGCGAGGACGTAAGATGAGGGGAGGGGATAGAGGAAGTGCATGAAGGTGGGGTGGAATATAGTAAAGAAACAGAAGGAGCAGACGTAATGTGAGTGCATTCTCCAATCTCAGCCCGATGCCCTGAAAAGAAGCATGGGGTGAGGTGGAAGGGAATTGAGGAAGAACAGGGAAGGCGAAATGGGAGAGAATCAATGACATGGTGAAGATACAGAGGACAAAGAATACAAGAGGGATGGCATCGAGAAAATTGCAGGTAAGGGATGCATGCAAATGCATGCAACGTGGGAGCACGAAGAAGCACGGGAGTGATCCGTGGGAACGAGAGCACAGTCAGCATGCTTTATAGAAAGAGCTGATGGCGATGCTGAGACGCTGTTGCATAGTCGGCATGCTTATAGAAAGAGAAGCAAAGGAGCTCAGCTGCTTTCGATCTGCATCAAGCCAGTTGTACACTGTACCTTAAGAAACAGCCCTAGCTGCATTCTGCCCCCGTGCCGCAAATGGTGCTCCTCCCGCAACTGGAAATGGTTACCGGGCACACAAGGGGTTGGGTGGGGCATGGAAAAGATGGAAAGGGAATGATTTTCGAGGCATTCTACGTGGGTTGAATCCCAGTACATGGATGCCACATGTCGTGTGGCTTGCTTGCCCCGTTAGCTTTGTCGACTCGAATCGAAGTACATGGATGGGTGCAACGACAAAGCTAACGGGGCAAGCAAGCCACACGTCGCTCTTGCGAGCGATTTTGGGGAACTCTAAGTCCACAAAAACCTTTTCACGCCTAACCACATGTGGTGTGGGAGGGTGATGTGGGTGCTTTGGAGGGCAGGTGGGGGATGCAGAGGGGGGACGTGTTTCGGGTGTGCCTGGACAAACCTGCAGACGGACACATGCCGTGGTTGTGGCAGTGGCAGTGGCAGTGGCTGTGGCTGTGGCACGAAATTTGAGGATTCTCGGAGAACTCTCGCATCAAAGCGTACACGGTGCAAAGAATGGGTACCTTGAAGAAGAGGTGCCGCATGCAGGGAGGAAAAGACTACCCCTAGCCCGAGACGAGCCGACACAGGTGTGTAGTTACTTGCCTACTGCAGCTCGCCCAGTCCTAATGGCAAAGAATGCGTACCTTGAAGAAGAGGTGTCGCATGCAGAGCGGAAAAGACTGCCGCGCCACAACGTCCAAATCACGGAGCGACACCTCAGCAGTCTCGCCAGGCTGGCAGAGCAGTGGAGAGACAGGGGGGGGAGAGACGGATGGGGGAGGAGGGTTAGGGAAGGAGAGGAGGATTGGGGAGGGAAAGGAGGGGAAAAAGGAGGAGATGAGATTTGAGTTGACTCCAACCAAGCTGCCTCAGAAGTCTCTATTTGACCTCAGGTCAAATGGAGGCCTCTCTGCTTGAAGTTAGTTGTATTACCTGGGAGAAGTCAGGGCCTAGATAGCGTGTGCTGAGAGCCTCAATCACTGGTGTCAGGCGTTCTTGCTCGTCTTCTTGTATGTGGGCAAGCCACTTCCTGGAGGACGGTGACGGGGTGGGGAGGAAGAAGGGATGAGCAGCAGTGACCGGCTTCAGGCGTTCTTGCTCGTCTTCTTGTATGTGGGCGAGCCACTTCCTGGGAGACAGGAGGGGACAAAATGGAAACGGAAGGGAAAGATCAATGCAATGTGAATGTCAGAAAAAAAAAATATGAGATGGAAATAGTGATTAGACGTGAATCAATCAAACGGAAATATCAATGAGATGTGAAATAACAGACGATACTGCTCAAATAGGAAACCAAAACACCGCATCCATACCATTAACTCTCTCATAAACTTTCTTCTCATCAAAATTCCAAGATTCACCTGTTGGTTGCCACGAGTGCTTTGGACAGCTTGGCTCGAAATTGACCAACCACAATGGCCGCCAGCTGGCACACACGGACCGGCACGCGTCAGAGAAGGGGACGGATCATTGTCTGAGGAGCCTAAAAGAACAAGCCATGTTTATGAGGCGCATCACAAGCTATGTTTATGAGGCGCATCACAAGCTAGTGCTCTGGTTAGACTGGCTATTAAGTTGACGTTTTGTTTGCGTCTGACAGCTCAAGCTATGTTCATGAGGCGCATCACAAGCTAGTGCTCTGGTTAGCTAAGCTTGGGACTGACCCACCACAATGGCCACCAGCCACACTCAGCAATGAGGGAAAAAAAATCACAGCCATGGGAGTGAGGGAGAGGAGAACGCATTAATTCATTAACACAAGAAACATGCAATCCCATACCTGGTCGCTGGGGACTTTTTTGAGTCGACTCAAAATCGACTTACTATGTGAGGAAGAGGAGAACACATTGATTCATTAACACAAAGAACATGCAATCCCATACCTGGTCTCTGGGGACAAAGGCAAAGCCCTTTTCGAGATAAACCCTGCGAGAAGCCACCAAATCAGGAACCTCCTCGAATGGAACCTGCCACGAAGGAGAGATCGGATGGGGGATGCGGGGATAGATGATGAGACATACGCGTTACTGCCTCCGAATACCTGCCATGCCAGTAAGCGAGCAATCTAACAAGGAAAAAAACCAGAAAGTATGCACTCCAGCGAGTTTCCACAGAAACTAAAGGATGTACCTTGTTGTAGACACTGTCAACTGGAGCTATCACGCCGTCGCAGATTTACCTCACAAGTTTACCTTGCATACGTGCGTGCAAAAATTCACAACGAATGGACTTACCTTGTAGAAGACACTGTCGACTGGAGCAGTCGTGCCATACAGGTTGCCATGACGAAATGGGCAGGTTGGAAGGGCGGGCAGGTTGGAAAAGTGGCAGGATGGAAAAGGGTTAGGTTGGACAATCCACAGACATGTGCCAGGACTGTTTGGGAGACGTCGCGCCAAAAAGAAACAACAGTGATAAAGAAGATGGGGACCAGTCATTGAAGGCGCCACCACTTGGTGACAGAATTATCAGAGAAAGGTAAAAACAAGATTGGACTGGCTGTAAATCGTTGGGAATAATTTGGTCTTTTGAAGGTAAATTACCATTTGGAACAGGTAGGTTTAGGGACCTGGCCACTTGAGTGAGCTTCTCTCGCACTCCCTGTGTTAGTGAAGGGGAGAAAGAGAGGTGGGAAGGAGAAATGACTATTGCATTGAACATGGGGACTCAGGCTAATTGGGATTGACGTTTGAAGTGGGACAAACGAGCGCAAGCAAGAGGCTGGCATGATACTTAGCTAAACGCCAGTAACTTAAGATTCACCCATAACCTAAACAGTACACATTGCACTTGCCGTCATCTCTGCTGCGCCAATAGCACGATAGGGAAGGCCATTGCTCTCCAAAAACCACCTCTGATCAGCGAGAAAGACGGTGGGGAGCGGAGGAACCAGGGGGAAAAGGGAGGAACGGAGGGAAAGACGATAACATGCAATAGATTCACATGCAGTGGTGTAGAACGAAGGAGGCAGTTTTATTCTCTGGCGGTTAGACCCTCACTTGATCGTCTAAACGCCCCACTAATTGTCTGAAGTGCCCACACGCTGTGGAGATTTCCCATTACTCTCTGGAATGTATCCAATTAGTATATGGAAACTCACTTGGTTTTCAGGCGTCTCAGCACGGAATCTGTGGCGGATAGAGCCGATTCGTGCGCCAACATCCAGAGATAATATTGTTATTCAATCGTCTGTCTGTACATGTCAACTAAAGAATCGACTCACCTGGTTTTCAGGGGTCTCAGCTCGGAACCTGTGGCGGAATAGAGCCGATTCTTGCGCCAACAACCACCGCCGTAGCTCCTCCCTGAACCACCGCCAAGTGAATAATGGACCACTTAAGGGGTACAACATTGCGAGCCGAGTGATGCGAACCCTTAGGCGACAGTAGGGAATGTTTGAAATGTCTCTAACGACTCATGTGCGACAATAGGCGAGGCGTCTCAAAAGGCTCACGTGCGACAGTAGGCGAGTCGCAGGATGTAGTGCGATATGACGTCTTTGCGACGAGCGTCAGCCAATGAGCATCCAGCTCGCATGTACTTCCGCCATATGTCTGACACCTGCGAAACAAAGCGTGGTGCGTGTAAATAGCAACACCAGAATCTGAGCCTGTCTGATGCCACCGAGAGACAGAAGTATCATGATCTGGCACGAAATACGGGAACTACCATCAATTGGCACGAAAGAAACGGCGTGACGCTATCATGCAAGCTCCTACCTGGCTAAACGTTTCCGCCAATCTTTCAGAGGTAGGACGCACATACCATGCTGTCGAGCTCGTCCACCTTTGTTCCGCGCGCCTTGGCGTCGTCGATCGCCTTGAGCACTGCGCACGGAAAAACAAGACTCGCTTCAGATTCCGTTACAAACGAGTGGACAGGCCACGACGAGCCGTGAACCGGACCTACGCGACGAATCTCAGACCGTCCTTTGACCCGTTCGATTCTATCCTGCACGCTTCGGGAGCCAACCGTTTTCCAGACATGTTATTGCAAAACAGATATCTAGGCTTTTTTTTTCTAATGCTAGCTCACCCCGGAGCCGGTCCAGCGCGAACTCCTCGAATTGCTCCATGGCCACCTCTTCCCCCACCGGCGCCTCGTCGTACATCGACAGCTGGCACGCGGAAGCTCCGCCGCTTCCTGCGGAGGATTTCCATCCCGACAGACCTACGCCGCGACCGTCGGCGCCGACCGTGCCGGGACCCTGCGCTACTGAAGGTGCGGCTCGTTTTCGTGAGGTTACGTTGAAATCCATTGGGCAAAGGTATAGTGACGCCGAACAAACGTGACGTTGGCTGGGAAACGAAGCGGTATGCGAATCCAATATAGGGCCGAGAAAAAGGAATCCAAGGTCATGCGCTTCTAGATGTCACAATGTTGTACACGAAGACTAATCTATCCGACTAAATCTAGAGCCAGAAAGTCGTCGGCCTCTCAGACCTGGATTTGGCACGCGGCTAAAGAGCTTGAGAATGAAACGCGCATTTGGTGACTTCACTTCCCAGCATCACTCAGTTCTAACTTCACCAAAGAACAGGCTGAGCGAGGAAGAAGGAAGAATGAAGCGACTGGTGAAAGCGAAACTCGAATCCTTCCATTCCAAGGAATGGCTCGAGGATAGACAGAGCGGCAGAAAAGAGTTGGCGGGAAAACGGACTCGAGAATTCAAAGCTGCAAATTTCGCGGCATTGGGATTCGCAGTACTCCATAAGGATGGATCGATTACAGTAGAACGCGGTACACACTTAATGGATGCAAAAACACTTCTTCCGTAAAACTACATTCTCAAACCCTATCTCGAGCATGTGTCGTGTTTTCCTTGCCGTGTGATGTTGGAGTATCCACGGACAGAAGCCAGAGAGCGCTGGCAAATACGCCCCCCCTGTTCCTTTCCCGCCTTCCCCCCAGGCTGTCGTTCGTCCTTCGCACCGACAAGCCACGCGGTAGGCGCACCAATGGTGATGGCTGTGGGGCCACTGGCCAGCCAACTATTTTCCGCCACCTGCCTGAACCAGCGCTTTTCTCCAGCTTTCATTCCGCGCCCACGTCCGCGGGCTGCGACTCGCGCACATCAGCACAACTTGCGCCAGACGGATTTACCACACCCAACCCACCACCGTCCCCCCCCAACACGGGCAGGAAGGCTCCCTCGATCTTCCAGTGATGGCTGCCGCCAATCTTCCCCGCACCCAGCAAGACCTCCCCTATCTCCAACCCGCCGTCACTTTGGAATGCCGCGTTTCCCCGAGTCTCTCCACCTTTCCGCTTTCCGCCTCCCCCGGTCTTCAGTTTCATCAGTCCGACTTCTCGACTTATCCGCCTATCAACATCCATCTCCCCTCAAGGGTGCCCTGCATGCATCTCGTTGCTGTTCGGTTTGTTGCGTTCCAAAACGGCGAGCAGAAACTACCGTGTTCAAACCTGAGGAACCTCATTGAACCGTATGTTAGGAGCCATATTTCAAAGCACTGGACATACTGGATTACTCCTGCATACAACCCGAAGAACCATCATTCACGTTCGTAGCACGTCAAGTCTCCAAAATTAGTTCCAGCTTCACTTTGTTTCTTTCTTCGAGCAGCAAGTTTTCGCCATCTACACCAGAGGTCCTGACTCGTTTTAGGAACCGCTTAGCAACAAGTTCACTCGTTTCTCGCGTTGTGTAGCCGCGGTTTCTTACTCCAATTTAGCTCATCCTAGTTCCCGAATCCCGAGCATAGAGGACAAATGTCGAACGAGGAAGACTCGCTAGTTTTAGTAGACTGCGGAGACGCGTACGTCCTCCTCTACGATTCTAAGTACCAATCCGTTGAAGAGGCAATAGTCGACAGCGCCGGACGCGCCTTGGCGAGCGACGTGGCGCTACCTTCGCCGGAAACTGCTCATGTAACCGACGGTGCTGCACACTCCTCGCAACTCGACGCCTTGCCAGAAGATTCAGTCTACGAATCGCAGCAAGCTGAAGGACCGGCGGAATTTCCGGATAGTCTTGACACTGACGCGCAGGCTTCTGTTGTTCGTGATAGTAACGGAGCAGCGATACCGGGTTCGCGACCAGACTTACAGGCGTTACAACAAGAGTCGGAGACGTTATCCGGGTCCTCTGGTTCTGCTGGCGCGGCGAAGCAGGTTCTCTCGTTGCATCGTTTGAAGCAAATCAGCCTGCGAGGGGGGAAGAAAGGCGCGAAATGGATCCGGCGAACAGTCGATGTGGTAACCAACGGGAAAGGCAAGACGTTTTTTCTGTCGGGGCTGAAAGGCGCCGGAAGTGCGGGAGGGACCGAAAAGGCAGGAGGCAGCGGCGATTTGGAGTCGTTGTCGCAAACTTGTAGCGAGGATGATGTGATGCCGAGGCTTATAAACTTAACGCGCGCGCTTAGCAGAGTCACGGAAGCTGAGAGCTGGCAGGAGAGAGGGGAATCGTGCGACTTGCGCAATCGCCTGACGCGAATTGCGGATCTCGAGTCTGCCGCGCTCGAGATTTCCGGCAGTCTCCCCCCATCGAGTGCGCTTGTAACGGGTATATATAACTCGTTTTATGGAGATAATATTCTTGACGATACTGTAGATGGCAGTGCGGATATGGCGAGCTACAGTGATTTCGGTATCTCGTTTGATATGGTTGGGAAGGCCAGGGCAAGCGGGGAGGAGCAGGTGAGTTTTACTGATAAGTTCAGGCAAGTGGGGAAGCGGAACCAAATGCATATCAACGCGATAAGGAGGGCCAAGGAGAGGAGTCGCTCTGCCTCGTTAGAAGGCCAACTGCTGGACTCTATAGCGGAGCACAGCAACTCCAACCGTACGAGTGGCAGACAGAGTGAAAATAACGAAGGGGCTTCTAGCGAGGCGCGGGAGGCAGGGGAAAACGGAGCAGGTACCGGATTGGAGGAGGATTGTGATTTAGGGAATGAAGGACACGTGGACATGGCGAGCTACAGTGATTATGGCTTATCGTTTGATATGGTGGGGAAGGGCGGGGCGAATGGTGGGGAGAAGGTGGGATTTACGGATAAGTTCAGGCAAGTAGGAAAGCGGAACCAGATGCATATCAACGCGTTTCGGAGGGACAAGGGCAGGGACAGGCACGGCGGTGACTCGATAGTGGGTGGGTTGGAGGACTCTATAACGGTGCAATCCGGTTCCAAGGTTGGTGAAAGGGGCGGGGGCGAGGGCGTAAACCCAAGCTGCGAAAAGCAGAGTTCCAGTGAAGCGGTTCGCATGGGTATTGATGGAGATGTTGTTAGTGGGAGCAGGGGGGGCAGTGCTAGTACTGGTAGCAAGAGTGACTGTAACGAGCGAGTAGCAGTGGCAGGGGAAAGCACGGTTGGTGACAAGGATGGGGAACAGCAGGCTGGTGAGGGGGACGCTGGGGGAGGCGCTGGGGGGAGCGCTGATGGTGGTGGATCTCAGGGAGGGCATGCTGAGCCCTTGGCATCCATCTCGTTCAGAACAGCAGCGGATTCTCTCCCCGGCACTGAAGCATCTGCGTCCCTTGCTTGCACAGACGCGGTCCCGTCCCTCCCCCGCATGGAAGCATCTGCGGAATCGTCTTCTGGGAGCTTGCTGGCGTCATCGGTTCTCCCCCCGGCCCTGCTGGCAGTGCTGGGCAATAAGGGAGAAACAATCTCGGGGAAATGTGAGGCCGCCTGGGGGGGCTCATCTGATGCTTCAGCGACTTTTGCGACGACTGGAGATTCGGCCGAAAGGGAGTTGAGGGATGAGTGTGGCTTGGCAGGACAGCAGAAGCTGGCCCCCACTGGCGGGGGCTACAGTGGCGGGGCAGAAGCTGCAGCAGTAGCCGCTCCAGTGGGGGCTACAGTGGCTCCAGTGGGGGCTACAGTGGCTCCAGTGGATGCTACAGCAGTTTGCAGCAACCACACACAGTAGCTACAGCCGCTGCAGCAGCAATAGCAGCAACTATCGCTGCCGAATTGGTAACAGCAGTCAATTCCCCCCAGTTACATCCTGCTGCCGAGTCAGCTGACTCAGCTCCAACTCATGCACGCGCTTTTGAGTCACCGCCAGGTCAGCAGCCCCGCCGTCTGTCTGTCCCCTGCCGGCCGACCTCGGCCGCCAGGTGGCGTGCTACGTGGTGGCCTGCCTTCTCGTGTGTCCATCGAGAGAGATGCTGAGCTGGCTGCCAGGCTGGCAGAAATCCGAGCTGGATACGCTGGGCGGTGGGTGGGAGAGGATAAGATCGAGCGGGAGGGCTCGGGGGTTCATACGAGCAGCGGCCGCAGCTTGGGGAGCAGCAATTGTGACAGTAACGCGAGTGACTGTAGGGGGGGGAGGGGTACGGGTCACATCAAGGGACGTCAGTGCTCTTATCACAGCACTCACCCGTGGAAGGTAGACAATCTCAGGAGCACACTAGGACTATGCAAGACCGAGTGCAGCGCAGCTGTGAGGATGTGTTACCGGATCAGTTAGACAGTCCCCAGGAGAGACAGACTGCGGAAGAAGGGAGAAAAGGAGGGGCGGTGGGGGAGGGGGCGGGGCTGGGGGAGGAGGTGAGACAGGGAGAGGGAGAAGTTGAGGAGAGGGCGGGGTTGGTGGAGGAAATGGGGGGGAGTAGAGGGAGAAGTGTTGGTGGAGGAAGTGGCAGTCACTCTGGAGAGGATTGAAGCAGCTTTCAGTCATTCAGTAGCGTTGTGGAGTCGTGTGAACGAGGAGAGGGAGAAGAGGAAGGGGAGGAGAAGGAAAAAGGGAGGGAGAAGGAAAGGGAGGGAAAGAAGGGGAGGGAGAAGGGAAAGGGGAGGGAGAAAGAAAAGGAGAGGGAGAAGGAAAGGAGAGGGTAAAAGGGAAGGAGAGGGGAAGGGGAAGGTGAGGAAGCGAAGGAAAGGAGAGACTGAAGAAAATGTTGAGTAGGAGAGGGAGAGGAGGGAGGAGTGAGAGTAGAGGGAGGGGAAGGAGGGGAAGGAGGGGAAGGAGGGGAAGGAAGGAAGGAGGGGAAGGAGGGGAAGGAGGGAAGGAGGGGAAGGAGGGGAAGGAGGGGAAGGAGGGGAAGGAGGGGGAAGGAGGGGAAGGAGGGGAAGGAGGGGAAGGAGGGGAAGGAGGGGAAGGAGGGGAAGGAG